AGTTGAGGTCTACCTATGATGCCAATTACAGGCCTCTCTCATCTTTTTAAGTGGGAGAACGTGCACAATTGGTGGCTGACTAAATACTTTTTTGCCCCACTGTGCGTGTGTGTATATATATATATATATATATATATATATATATATTTTTATAGTTTTTATGGAAATTTCAAATCGTTTTTGTAATTATAGTCTTATCATGTTTGGAAATGTAGCATACCCTCACCATTTTAGCTGCACAATCAGCTTAGCTGATGTTGTCATTTTATTCTGTTGACACCTTGGCCCCTCCTCCCATCCGAAGATGGCCCATCCCAGCAGGGAGGGTCCGGTTCTAATTATAGAGAGTATATATGGGAGAAAACACTCAGTGTCTTGTCAAGCTCTGATGAAGAAGGAACATCCTTCGAAACGCGTCAGCTGATCCCGGAGTGTCCTGCCCTATGATGGGACTCACGCAGGTCTTACCATTCCATAGTTCCTTTGAGAACGGACATGCTTGAAATACTTCTTTGTGTTGTGAGTATATTTTTGTATTCAATGAAATTGGTTTACTGAGGTAATGTGCAAGGTTGGTCCGCTTCTTTTTTGTGTTCGCTTCACAGTATTGGTTGGGTTTCTCCAGCCTTGTTTGGAGCTGCACAACCCCATATGCAAAGGTGGTCGAATTTTTTCAAGTTCTGGTTCCATCCATCCACCTCCTTTGGGTCTTAGAGCGCAGGAGAGTTGGTTTCTACTCTTCCATAAAGGCCAGACTTTTGTAGTTGTCCTGTGAACAGATTCTCCCACCTGAGCTGTGGATTTTTGTAGCTCCTACAGTTTTACCATGGGCCTCTTGGCTGCTTCTCTGATTAATGCTCTCCTTGCCTAGTCGGTCAGTTAAGGTGGACGGCCATGTCTTGGTAGGTTTGCAGTTGTGCCATAATCTTTCCATCATTGGTTAATGGATTGAACAGTGCTCCGTGAAATTTTCAAAGCTTTGGATATTTTTTTTTTATCACATAACCCGGCTTTAAACTTCTCCACAAATTTATTCCTGATCTGTCTGGTGTGTTCTTAGCCTTCTAATGCGGTTTGTTCACTAATGTTATCTAACAAACCTCTGAGGGCTTCACAGAACAGTTGTATTTATACTGAGATTAACAACTTGCCTTCAGAGGATTTACCCCCCATCACGACCAGGTCATTTTTTGCTGTTCGGCTAGCTGCGTTATTTCAACTGGTAATTGAATGGTCGTGCAATTCTGTACCCAAATGAACTTTAATGTTTTTTCACACAAAGAGAGCTTTCTTTTGGTGGTATTTGATCACCTCTGCGGTTTTTATTTTTTGCGCTATAAACAAAAAGAAAGAAAAAAAGACCTAAACTTTTGAATTAAAAAAACATTTTTCATTAAAATATTGGAATTTACATAGCTTTTACTTTCTGACTGCCTATCACATTTCTTGAGGTGCTAAAATGCAAGGGCAGTACAAACCCCCTTAAATGACCCCTTTTTGGAAAATAGACACCCCAAGGATTTTGCAGAGAGGTATGTTGAGTCCATGGAACATTTTATTTTGTGCCACAAATCTTTTGAAAATTACTTTGTAAAAAAGGGGTCATTTGAGGGGGTTTGTACTGCCCTGGCAATTTAGCACCTCAAGAAACGTGATAGGCAGTCAGAAAGTAAAAGCTATGTAAATTCCAATATTTTAGTGAAAAATAATGTTTTTTTATTCAAAAGTTTAGGTCTTTTTTTTTTTTTTTTTTCACAAAGTTGTCAATTTAATTATATATTGCTCATGCATGCCATGGGTATATGTGGAATAACATCCCAAAACACATTCTTCTACTTTCTCCCAGGTATGGGGATGCCACATCAGAGATATTTTGGCAGCTTAGATACATACAGGCCCCCAAAATTCAATGACCACCTCTAGGGCTTTCAAAGGACATATTTCCTCATATCACTTCCCCACTACCTATCACAGTTTCAGAGGCTCTAAAATGCCAGGATAGTACAAATACCCCCCCCCCCCCAAATATATATATAAAGCAGGGGCCCTAGAGAATAAAATAAAAAAGTGTTGAAATTTTTTACGCCACAGTATTTGTGCAGCGATTTTTCAAAATGCAAATATTTTGGGAAAAATACACTTTTTAGAATTTTTAATGCAAAAAAAAAAAACACAATATATTACCCAATTGTTTGATAACAAAAAAGGAATATAAAAGATGATGATACACCAAGTAAATAGATACCAAACATGGCATGCTTTAAAATTGCGCACGCCCGTGCAATGGCAACAAAGTACATACATTTTTATTATCGATAGTTGATGCTTTAAAAGCCTTTACAGGTCACCAATTTATATTTATACAGGAGTGCTAGAATTACTGCCCTTAATCTGACGTTCGCAGCGATACCTCATATGCATGGTGCAACCGCTGTTTACATACCGGCATGGGTGCGCACATGTAGGCGGGCAAGGGTGCTTTTTTTTTTTCCGATTTTTTTCTATTATTTTTACACTTTTTTTTTTTTATAAAATCAATCACTTTTATTGCTATCACAGGGAATGTAAATATCCCCTTTGACTGCAATAGGCATTGACAGGTATTCTTTTTTGAGAAATCTGGGGTTTATTAGACTCTAGATATCGCCTCTGCCCTTACATCATCTGATCGCGCCAAGATTGGTGTGATGCTTTCCCAATTTACAAATGGCGCTGTTTATATCCTGCAAAACTGAAGTGATGAAATGCTCGTAGCTTCCGATTTCTTAGACTATAGAGATGATTGGAGTCATTCTGGTCTCTGATCAGCTATATGGTCAGCCACTGGATCTGCCGGCTGCATGCTCGGATTCCCCTGTGGGACAGGAAAGCCCAAGAAAACTGGAAAGCGGGGGGGGAGAATGTCCCTTCCTGCTGCTCATAAAAACAATTCAGCAGCTAATTGGTCACTAGGATTGCTTTTACATGAAAACCAACCGCCAGCTGAAAACAACAATACCAGGATGATGCCTGTAGCTGCAGGTATAATCCTAGTATAACCACTCGAGGTCCAGCAACATGCCAGTACATTACTAGTCCATGTTGGGTGTATATGTAACAGCGGAGAACACAGGCATATGATGAATCAGGTCTGTGGACCAACATGACTGCAATTCATGTTGAGCGCCAGGCCCAAAAGAGTTTTAAAATTCAGAAACCGTGATAGGTTTCCATGCGAATTGTCTAGGAAGAGCTGAATTTGGGTGGGCGGCGATGCATTGTTGTGCATATAAATTGATTGGCCCACAATCAATTGGTACAACTCTTCTGTGAAAAACAGCGGAATGGCTAAAAGCTAGTGCTGGCAGCGAATGGGGCTGATCCTGCTAACACTGCATTTCTTGGGGACACTATGCTAAGCAGGCACTAGTATAGTTTCTGTTCATGATCATTATCTTGATCTGTACAAACTCGTAATGACCGGGGTGATCAGTAGCCTATGGTGTGAGTGTGCGGGCAATCTAAAGCTAGCTGACCCTAGCTGGGTGGGGCGCTAACTGACCCGGACGTTATCTGATGTTGCTAGTGGCAGTAATGCAGTGATCAGTGAAAAATGTTATATACGGACACTGTAATAATGACACTGGCTGGGTGACGGGGCGATCAAAGGATTAATAGGGGCGATCAAAGGGTTAAATGTGCTAATCTAACGTGTGTGTGTGTGTGTGTGTGTGTGTAAGGGGGGGGAGGGGGGGGCAGGCGCATTCACACCCCAAAATAGGAAGCAGCGCAAGATTACGTCGCTTTGCCAAGATGCAAAATGCTACTACTTTTAACAGAATAGTACAATGCTACCATAGTGGGGGGTGATCAGCAATTTTTTTTTTTAGATCATAAAGATAATTTCTCCTGCAATGCAAAGCTTGCTGTCATGAATGAGTTTTTTTCAGCTCAAGATAGTGATCTGTGATTGGCTGTATGAGGTGTTTTGCTAGTGAATGCAAATTGTAATGGATAGATAATCACACTGTTATACCCTTTATGTCTTTTTATTATAAGGTGCAATCGTTAAATTCAGTTACAATTTTCAAAAGCAGGAAAATGTTATGCGCCAAAAGAGAGCCACACAAAAACACACATACAGAGGACTTTCGAGCTGTATAAAATGGAAAATACAGCGAGTACTGCATGATAAAAGGACAACCCACATTCACTGATCATACAATTTTCATTATTTTAAATAGTACTTATTGTGTATAAGGTCTTACAACACCTCTATTTTACCTTCCTAAAAAGGGGGTTGTAGCACAGCATTGACTACAACACGTGAAACCTTTAACTTTGTTTACAAGGCATTTAGTGCCCATATGACTTTTTTCATGATAGTATAGAAATAATAATGCCACAAAAATTTCACGTGTATTTCCAATAGATTGGCGAGGGGTTGGAATCACTGTTGGGTCTTTACTGCTAAATGTGTCCCAGCTACGGAGAGGCATTTTTTATTTGTCCTGGAGACCCGTCAGTTAGTTCAAACAAGCTCATGGCTGCTACTTAATCATGGCCTGGATTCTTTCCTATATGAACATAATACAACTGGATACTAATATTTATAGGTAAAGTTGAACCAGCGAATATCCAACTGACTCTTGGGGGATCAGGAAGAAGTTTTTTTAAGGATCACACTTTATAAAGGATTTTTTTGCTTTCCTCTAGATCAACTGTGTGTATATGATTGTGCTTATGGAGGTTTTCCCATTTGTGTGCGTTTTTTTTTTTTTTTTTTTTCCTTTTTTCCCTTTTCCTCTATTGGCTGAACTGGATGGATTTGTGTCTTTTTCCAACTAGATTAACTATATAACTGGAGAAAATTGGAGTCTTGTCTTAAAAATCTATCTCCAGGCTCGAAGCTTTATTGTAGAGGTAATTGATTACGTTTATATACAAAGAACGTTTTACGTTTTCTATACATGTATAGAAAAACTGCAAATATGTTTACATTCGCCATAAAGATACATTACCATTTCTCTTTGGGAAAAGACTTTAAAACTTCTTCTATGATAGGCTGATAACATGAGTCTCTTTCCGTCTTGCCCTCTTCACTCCAATCACGTACAAACTGCTTTATCGTGGACTTTAGCTTGTCCATATCGAAGCTGGATGCAGGGCTCAGTTTTCTGTGGCTCTATGGCACAACAAAGAAATACTTGCAAATGAGCTGATTTTGTATGGGGCGTGTGAGCTACTCACCATTTACTAAAATGTTGAAATGTGTTAAAGCTGAAGTTTAGTGTGCGTATAATATATATATATATATATATATATATATATATATATATATATATATATATATATATCTCAATCAATCAGTCAGCCATAACCTTATGCCCACCCACCTAATATCGAGTAAGTCTCTTGCCTTCTTTCCATATTGCATCCTGATGCAACCCCATATGCAACAAACTGCAATGCACTCTGTAGTCTAACACCTATCGGTACCAGCATTAACTTTTTCAGCTACAGCAGCTCTTCTGTCAGTTCGGACTACATGGTCCAGCATGCAGTCCCCACATGCAACAATAAGTCTTGACTGCCCATGAACCTGTGGCAGGTTTTCCTTTCTTGGACCACTTCCTGACCACTTCAGACCAAGAACATCCCACAAAGAGCTGCAGTATTTAAGTTTCTCTGACCCAGTTCTCTAGCCATTACAATTTGGCCCTTGTCAAACTCTTATGCTTGCCAATATTTTCTACTTTCAACACATCAGCTACACGTACATGTTCACTTGCTGCCCAGTATACCCCACCCTCTCAGATGCCACTGTAGCAAGATAATCAATGTTAGCTTTACCTGTCAGTGGTCATAATGTTATGGCTGATCTGTGTATGTGTGTATGTATGTATTGTTTGGGGATATAGCACCAAACACATTAGTTATACGTATAGGTGTAAATCCCACTACATGCAGGTGGCTGCTTCAAGTAAACATTTTCTTGCAGCATCTCCTTCACAGCCACCAGATACAGCTCTATGCGGCTATCTTCTGGTACTGAGAAGATATTATACAACTTATATAATGTATAAATATTTATATATTTTGTGAAAGCAGAGACCATGGAGAATAAAATGGTGGTAGATTATATACATGCGGCACTTAATAAACAATGAAAATAGTCCATATAACATATAAATAATTTCTGGTGCAATCATTTTATTGAGAAAGGTTTACAAGACAAAATTGAACGGTGGAGTCCCACGCAGGGGACTAAGGCTCAAATGAAGCAGTCAATTACAAACCTGTTGCGGTAGTAAAATGCAATGCAACGGAAAACAATTAGCAAGCAGCAGCCTGTGCTGGAAATGGCAGCATATTTCTGGGTACGGGGACCCAGGGTGTGATAGCTTGGAAGGGAGGGTTATTCCAACCCTAGGTGGAGGAGAGGGCAGGGTAATGTGAAAGCAGAAGGGTAAAAAAGGGGGGGGGGGGGGGAAGGAGAGGACGAAAGCAGTAGGAGAGCAAGATAAGATATAGAGAAATGAGCAGAAGAAGGGGAGAACAGAAGAAGGTGTCTGCGAAGTCAGGTGGAGTCCCTTGATGGCCTGGGAATACCTAGGCTAGTCAGGGGCAGGGTGGGACCACCTGGAGCTCCACACTTGGAAGGAATTTGGGGCGGGAGTGTTGGATTATACTTGTCATTTTCTCATGAATCATGAGAGTGGTGAAAATACTCTTCACCTCCGCGAACCCCACCGAGAGCTTCCTCTAGGCCCTAGCAAGGGTGCGTTGCCAGCCTCTGCTGATAGGAGAAGAGACCCGGCAGAGGGCAAGTGTATGTCTGCGGTCCTTGTAGAAGGGTACATGAAAGAGGGTCAGGAGCAGGCCATAGACCCATGACCAAAGCCCAAAAATGGGGCAGGACCACCATATATGGATTTCGTCTCCAAACTAACCACAGCCCCTGAAGCATCTATCACTGTATAACGGGTATGAGTGGGCTATGCGGGCCGGGACCCAGTATTAGTGGAGAAGGACTTAAATAGGCTGCCTCCATGGTGACAGTGTTAGGGCTCATGCACACGAGCAGCTGCAAAACTTTGAAATGAGTTTAGGAGCTTTGGCATTTTTTTTGCCAAAGCTCCTAAACTCAACTCCATAAAAGCCTGTGTCCATGTGTACACTTAGGCTTTTAGCAGAGTTTAGCAGCTTCCGCGTTTAGGTGAGGCTTAACGTCCCTCTCCTGAACGCAGAAGAATCGCATTCAGGATAGGAACGTTTTGATCGCCGGCTGCGGGAAACTGCAAAACATGGGAAAACTGTGGCAAAACGCAGTACCGCGCGATTTTGCCATGATTTACGTTTTCCCATGGCCAGCGGTAAGGGTAAGCTGATGTACATGGAGCCTTAAAAGAGCATTTGGCTATGGCAGACCAGGCCATGCTCCAATCCTCCAGGTCTATAGGGGCTGATACATCTCATACCCATTTGGAAACATACAGGTAGGAACGGGACGAAGTTCCTGCAGATAGGGAGGAATAGATGTAGGAGATGGTGCCCCGAACTCCCGAACATATAAATAATTTCATCCAGGAGGAAGGAAAAAGTCCCACCACAGTGGTAGAGCCAAGCAGTGGTCTTAAGCGCTCCATGTGCTAATAGGCATTTTGGCTTTACATCACCTGATCCACATCCAGCATTCTAGGTCCTTGTCAAAATCATACTTAGTAGACCAAGCCCATCAGACTCCATATGATTTAGCCTAAAGTCCTCTTCTCGGGATAACGTCAAATAAAAGGAATATACTTGAGCCCCCGCAGTGGAATGAGCAGCAGGCCAGGGATGAAGAGCCAACACACTGCCTCGAGCATGAGATAGCTTGTAGAGAGAGCAGAGCTGTTGGATGGACCCAGGAGGCTCCACCCACTACAGGATGCCTGCAGAAAGCTACAGGAGAGGATGGATACAAAACCAGTCACAATACACAAAGAGCAGAAGTGACCAGTCTTTATGACAGGTAACTTAACTACACAAAGCACACCAAGATTCAAGTAAGAATACAGTGCACATGCCTCTTGTATTTAGAGAAGATTTGTTTATCCCAGAGTTCAGCTTTAGGCCTCGTTCAAACCATACATGCAAACAAACTGATGGAAAATCTGCACAGATTTCACTTGCACAAGTTTACACAAGCTTTCATGTGCATTGCAATGAGTTTTATATACATTGCAGGTTTCTGCGCAGAAAAAATCCGCACATGATACTAGTTTTGTAGTGTGAACAGGGCACATAGAGAACAATTGTTTTCTTGTGACCTTGCAGAATGCGCGCAATAAAAAAAAACAAAAAAAAAAAACACATCTCTGCACACTGGTGTGAACGAGGCTTTAGGCATGTAATGCAGAATGAATAGCACATACTTGGTCCACTTGTGTGACTGTCTATGAAATACTTACATTACTGTCATATTCCTTGTTTTCAAACATGCGTGTGCAGTCATTCACAATCATCTGCAAGATCTCCTGATTCTGATCTGCACATCTGCGCAATTTATCCATGTTAGAGAAGAAGTGTGGGAGCATTTTTTGTTGATATTTAGGAAGACACTGAAATTGATTCTCTGCTCGGGTCACACGTTCATAGATGTGTGTTCTGAAGGGAAAACACAAAAGGGACAATAAGAAAATGTTATACCTCTAGCTAAGCCAAACACAGTCCATGACACTCAGTACTGTACAGAATTCAAGAAATTAACAGGCAGACAACCCAGACCTACATTTGTTTCATATTGTATGACTGCACTTTGTGGGATTAAAGGGATTCTGGAAAAGGAAAGCTGAACTGAGGAGCATGAAGGTGGCCATTGTTGACCATTTCTAGCAATGCTAGATGCTTGACTTCTACAGTGCTGTGAAAAAGTATTTGCCCCTTTCCTTTTTTTTTTTTTTTTTTTTGTAATATCTGTCACACTTAAATGATTCATATCATCAAACAAATTTTAATATTACACAAATATAACCTGAGTAAATGCAAAATGTAGCTTTTAAAATGATTTCATTAAGTAAAAAAAGCTGCCCAAACCTACCTGGCCCTATGTGAAAAAGTAACTGCCCCCTAAACCCCCCTGCTGTATAACCCAAGTGCACTTGAGCTCAAGGTCACAAACTGATGGCTGGACATTCTCTTTCAGGAATTTCTGGTAGACTGCAGAATTCATGGTTCCATCAATTAAGGTAAGTCTTCCAAGTTCTGAAGCTCCAGAGCAGTCCATCACACTACCACCACCATGTTTGACTGTTGGTATTTTGTTCTTTTTATGAAATGCGGTGTTAGTTTTACGCCAGATGTAATGGGATGCACACCTTTCAAAAAGTTTAACTTTTGTCTCATCAGTCTACAGAATATTTGCCCAAAAGTCTTGGGAATAACCAAGATGTTTTTGACAAATGAGCGTTTGTGTTCTTTTTGGTCATCAGTGGCTTTCGCCTTGGAACTCTCCCATGGATGCCATTTTTGCTCAGTCTCTTTCCTACTGTTGAATCATCAACACTGACCTTGACTGAGGAAAGTGACGACTGCAATTCTTTAGATTTTGTTCTGGGTTCTCTTATGACCTCCTGGATGAGTCATCGTTGTACTTTTGGAGTAATTTTGGTAGGCCAACCATTCCTGGAAAGGGTCACCACTGTTAAAAGTTTTCTTCATTTGTGGATAATGGCTCTCACCATGGCTCATTGGAGTCCCAAGCCTTAGAAATGGCTTTGTAACCCATTCCATTCAGTTACTTTATTTCTCATCTATTATTGAATTTCTTTAGAATCCGGCATAATGTGTTGCTTTTTGAGATCTTTTAGCATGCTTCACTTTGAGAAGCAAAGAGAGCTAATATTTAAAGTGTTACTAAAGTCTGATTTTTTTTTTAGATTAAGATAACAAACATGTCATCATACTTACCTGCTCTGTGCTGTGGTATTGAACAGAGCAGCCCCGATCGTTCTCTTCTTGGGTCCCCTGCCGACGATCTTGGCTCCTTGTCTTTTGTGTGTCTCCCATAACAAGCTGTTTGCTATGGGGGGGGGGGGGGGACGACACACTGCATGCACGCTCCCAACCTGTGCCTACGGAGCCACACTCCATATATATACACAGTGGGACTTAGCTCCGCCCACAACTTCCACTTCTCTACAGTTGATTGACAGCAGCAAGAGCCAATGGCTCCTGCTGCTGTTCGAGTCCCTGTGTGAAGAGAAAGCGAGAACAGTGCTGATCTCGATTTCCCTCTTTTTCCCTTCACATAGAGAAGTGGGAACACAGACAAAACAGAAAACGTTATTTACCTTAATGAAAACAATGCATTGAAGTAAAGAGAACATTTTTATGTCTAGTATCACTTTAACCACTTCAAGTCCGGACACTTTTACCCCCTTCCTGTCCAGGCCAATTTTCAGTGCTATCACACTTTGAATGACATTTGCGTGGTCATGACACACTGTACCCATATGAATTTTTTAAGACAGATAAAACTTTATTTTGGTGGTATTTATTCACCACTGGGATTTTTATTTTATTTTTTGCTATATAAATGAAAAAGTCCAAAAATTAAAAAAAAAAAAAAGTGTTCTTATAAAATTTTGCAAATAAATAATCTTTCTTCATAAATCTTTGCCAAAATGTATTTAGTGATCTTATTAGTACAAAAAAAAAAAAATAACCCAAATTAGTTTATAACCAAAAATTATAATTTTGCTAAATTTTTTTTTACATTTTAATTTTATTTTTTTATATTGTTATTTATGGGGTTTCTTTACATACTGTCACCCTAGCAGTACAGTGTCACCATAGTGACACTGTACTACCTGTGGGGGGTGATGAAGATTTTTTTTTTTTTTTTTACACCGATTGCTTTACACCCATAAAGGCTGGAAAAGCAATAATTTCTCCTTCTCACTGGCTGCATTCTTGCAGCCATTGAGAAATATGGTGAGAGCTGTGATTGGTCACAGCTTGTCACATGGTACAAGGCTGTTGTGAATAGCTTTGTACCATGTGATCTCTGTGATCATTCACAGATTTCACACGTAGAAAGCAATGATGTCAGAAGTGACATCTTGCTTACCACTCTTCATGTGATCACTGAATGGCCAATCAGTGATCACATGATCGGGACCTCACACAGAGGTCCCGTACAACGATCGGAGGACACAGCGGGCACCGGATCGCGGTGCTGCGGGCTCCCAGGAAGCGTGCACAAGCAGGGAGGACGTTTATAAATGGCCAACTGCCCCTGCACTGCTCCTGTCCGGCCGTTTATATACATGGGCCGGACAGGAAGTGGTTAATGATTTCTTGATTCAACAGGTCTGGTGGTGTGGAAAGTAAAATTTAACTCCGCTTTCCAAAAAATGTGGTTAATCAGTTCATTCATGATTTTACAAGGGGGGAGGGCAATTACTTTTTCACATAGGTCCAGGCAGGTTTGGACAGTTTTCCCTTATTATATGAAATCATCATTTAAAAACAGCATTTTGTATTTATTCAGGTTATCTGTGCAATATTAACATTTGTCTGATGATCTGAATTATTTAAAAAAATAATAAATCAGGAAGGGGCAAATACTTTTTTCACAGCACTGTATGGTAATCCAATGCCTTCAAAACCATCTCCGTCATTGACTTATAACAAGCATGCAAATTAGGTGATCTGACTCTACATACTGCACATTGAGTCCAACAAGACAGTATTCGACTTGACCACACCTGCAAACATTTGTGGTCAGCTGGCTGGGATACGTGATTGGGGCATTCAAGCAGTATCAATTTTATTTGGTTGGCTGGCCGTGACATAATCACGGCCAGCCAACCAAGCAGCTGAAGGTCCAAAACCTGGAAGGCCAGTAGAAGATGGCAGCTTCCCATGCCCCAAGGTAAGCCTGCCATTATGTGTTAATGCGAGGTAGTATCAGAAAGTTTCATGACTAGTTTTGTAACGCACCAACAGATGGCAGCACAAAGCTGCACGAAGAGTCACAGGGAGCACTGACCTTCATAAGTCAGTGTGCCAAAAGAAATCGTCCTGTGTACATCGTGAGCTGTGCAACTGGCGCTATTCTGACGACGTGTGTTACCACATCTGCTATTTCATCATGGACAGCAAGTTAAAACAAAGAGCAAACATGAAGTTCTGCGTGAAACTGGGCAAATCTGTCACAGAGACATTTGACATGATTCGGAACGTTTACAGTAATGCTGTAATTAGTTTGAGATGTTTTGAGTGGCACGCATGCTTCAAAAGTGAAAGAACATCACTGAAAGATGAGAGGCCAAGAAGATCTTCAATTAGCTCAACCCCAGAAAATGCCCTCTTCCCAAATGCAGATCTAGCTCAAAGGTCACCGTTTTGACATTACGGAGATCCAGCAATTTGCCCAGTTTCACGCACAATTTCACATTTGCTCTTTGTTCCGAGTTGCTGTCCATGATGAAATAGCAGACGTGGTAAAGCACGTGGTCAGAATAGCACCAGTTGCACAGCTCCCGATGTACACAGGATGATGTCTTTTGGCACAGACTTATGAAGGTCGGTGCTCCCTGTGATTATGCATGCCGCCTTCTGGTGGTGTGTTACAAAACTAGTCTCTAAACTTTTTGATACCACCCTGTGTGTTGGGCTAGCACATTATGGCCAAAAAGCTGCTGCAGGCCAGAAAAAAAAAAAAAAAAAAAAAACGGCAGAGGATTATTTCCACTTCACTATCTTGAAGAGCTCTGGTTGTTGCTGCTACTCTACACTTCCAGGTGTGTTGGATGTCATTTCCCCCTGCAGGGTACTGTGGTTTCTCCTGCTGAGCCCTACATCACTGCTGTATCCTAGGTGGGAGAAACCAAAGCACCCAGCAGGGGATGTGCTATCACATCTGAAAGTGCAGGATAACAATGGTGATCTGAACTCTTCAAGAGAGGGCCATTTCAGCAGACCAGCCACAAGAAGTGGGCAGTAAGGTGCTGGCTATACAAGGTGCTGCCTAGGTAACATCTAATAGACTGCCAGGGTGTGGAACACAGGGAGAGATGGGTGCCCTCCATGGAGTCATCACCTATACCAGGAGAAGGCGTTCATGATCTTCCAGAAGTGCTCCTTCTCCAGCCTCTCCTCCTCCTCCGGACTCTGCCTCCTTTTGGTGTACACACTGATCTCCAGCTCCTCGTCCTCCTGCTCATCCCCTGGCCGTCTCTCTGCCTGCAGCTCCGGCCTCTCATCAGGCTCGTCATACTCCTCATCTCTCCTCCTACGCCGGCCCCGGCCGCCTGCTAGCATGTCTCCCCCTCGGTGATCAGACAACCGCAGGCTGAACCAACTTCCACTCATTCAGCCAACAATACATACAACATGACAGCACGCTGTATAGTATCCGTTCTGCAGGGCTCCGGATGTGATGTCACTTCTGAGCAACCCTTCCCAAAACCCACAGCGAGACATCTTGTGTACTGGCAGTGCCCTTCTCTGTATGCTTACCACAGGCTCAGCTCCCAGCTGTACCCTTTCTTCCTCAATTCTTTGCAAACATGCAAGGACAGGAAGTGAGGGAACATCTCTATGGCACTTGTGGTTAGGGGACTTTGAAACCAGCCAACTGCACTGCATTTTTACAGCCCTCCTTGGGGCTGCCACCTAATCCATTTAAACCTGAACGTATTAATTACACAGGTTCTGGTGCTGACTTTTACCTGCAATAAATTAGCCACAGAACCTGTGTAATTAATGTGTTCAGGTTTAAAGGGATGAGGTGGCAGCCCAGCCGGTTCTCCTCAGGAGCACGCAGGTTCCCGTGTGGTTCTCACACATTCCTGTCCCACACATTCATTTGAATGAACTGGAAAACGTACCAGCCTGAGCAAAAAGTAGTAACACCGAGAGGGCACAAATGTCTAGTACATTATTTTTAGTGCTTTGTTACAAGTAAAGGAAGACATAGGTGAAGGGTGGACGCTGCTCAGCTGACCTCAGAAGTCCAATGTTCAGGAATGGCCTCAGCCGCCGTTCTGGCCACGCCCTCTGAAGTATTTCGCTCTGCACCTCTGTGCCCTAGCCCTGGTGGCCAGGTCAAAATGCGTCAGTGCATGGCCAGAACGGCGGCTGAGGCCATACCTCAACATTGGACTCCTGAGGTCAGCTGAGCAGCGTCCATCCCTTCACTTGTATTGGCTGACACAGGAAATGCTCAGACTCATGCTCCCCTCTTCTCACTTGCCGGTGAGGTGATCCTTTTCCTTCCATCCATAGCTTGGTTAGGTATACTTTTCACAAAACAAGACATAAATTGTACTCTGAAGCCAAGTGGGCTGATAGCATATAAAACACACAAGGTTCTGTAATAGTAATTTTGGCAAACCAGAGAACTCTGGACACGGACTTGAGGAATATGACTGATTTATTAAAAACAGCGCTGTTTTGACTCAACAGATGGCTTATGCTCTCATCTGCTAAGTGAGTTATAGAAAACTTCTTACAAGCGTATATAGCAACGATTATGTCACAATACATACATTTCTCTCTCACTTTCTATATTTTTAACAGGCTTTCTAAACTCTGCAGAATAACCTTGGACAGCAGCTGCCGATAAGGGTCCCAGCTAGTAGCTGGTACATAACAGTCACAGGGAATAAGGGAGGGAGAGTGAGCTGAAAACGTTACCAGAAGAGGCTGCTAGAATTTTTACAGTTTAAAAAAAACTGCCATATCTAGGTGCTACCACAGTTTGAAATAAACACATCCCGATATTTTTAGTTTGTGCCTTGTGTGTTTTATACGCTACCAGCCCACTTGACTTGTGAGTATAATTTATGTCTTCTTTTACTTCTAATAAAGCACTAAAGATAATGCACTTTGCACCCTCTCTGTGTGTATTTCTGTAGTATTGGATTTCCCTGATTCGAAGAGGGCTGCATCACTTACCCTTCCAGTTTGAGTTGCTTGATTCTGGCAAAACTCTATAGCAATATGATCTACCATTTCTGAGGGCTGAAGTGTCCAGTTCTCTTGCTCATCTCTGCACAAAAAGTAGTTCCTACTTTTGAAAATGCATTGCATCAAACTGCATAGTACAATGCGACTTGGTGCCCGCCAATGCACTGCATTCGCGATCTGCATTTGGGGTGCTGTTAATATATTGGCACCTGTGTGCAGATCGCACAAGTAGCACATCTGAATGTAATGCTGAAAGTGCATGGAACACTCCACCGCACTTTGGTGTGAACCGGTCCTTAAAAGGTCATTCCACTTTCATGGAAAAAAAATAGCAAATAAAAAAATAATAACATAGCATATACATCATATTGTAATTGAATGTTATTTACAATGACCTTTTCTTTTCATTCTGCAGCGCTGTAATTTTCTGTAAAATGCAAAATGGCTATCTGGAGTGTGGGAGGAAACCGGAGTACCCAGAGGAAACCTACTCAAGCACAGGGGGAACATGTAAACTCCATGCAGGTGGTGCCGTGGGTGGGTATCAAACCAACGACCCTAGCGCTGCCAGGTGGAAGTGCTATTTTGCCTCATCTTCTCAGAAGTCTTCAGCTTTTGTCAGTTTTTGGGCATTCCCTGCAACAAAAATGTCATTTTTGATGAGCTACTCCCAAAGGTAAATTATGGCGAAAATGATTGCAGACCCTGACATTTCCCTCATTAGAGCCCTGCAATTGTAGCAGCTGATTGATAATTATAAATTCATTGACTTTGCACGAGGACACAAATAAACAGCTTTTCTTTAGAATAACAAAAGGTAGGAATTTGCAACAAAGTTTGTTAACATTCTTGTAAGGTACATAAATCACCCAGAGGGAATATTTTTTTTTTCAACAAAAGTGGAACTAAAGCCCTCAATACTTACTGTACCTCTCCAAGGTCCCTTGCAGGCACCAGTACCTTCTATCTAGCTTCGTCCGGGTGTCAGGTTGTAGCTGTCTTCATTTGCAGGCGTGTAATGACATCACTCCAGCACAGGCAAAGGAGTTCAGTCATCCCAGCATGTAGTATCTGTCCTGGAATGTAAACACGTGCAGCTCAGCATACACTCTAATGCAGGCCATAGACGGGTTGAAAATCTGCCAATTTTCCGGCCGAAAAAAAAAAATCAGCCGATTTTCGCACCGCTAATAGGTTAATTGGTCGGCCGTTTTTTGGGGTTTTGGCACATTTTTTTTATCGGTAAAGTTGGAAAAAAAATCGGCCGATTTTTGCCAATCGGACGATTTTCCCAGCAATGATGAGCAAATCGGCCGATCGTTTTACTGATAAAAAATCTGCGCATAAGCCGTGACCTGCAAGAAGAAGAAAAAGAAGAAACAGAAGGAGAAGAAGAAACACAGAAGAAGAAGAAGAAAAAGAAGAAGAATTCCAGTCCGCTCTTATATTTGACATGAAAAAGTATTGCGGTTGCAACAATGTATCTATTTGTATCCGAATAAAACCATCTGTATCTGAAATGGATACAAATGGATACATTGTTGCAACCGCAATACTTTTCCATGTCAAATATAATAGTGGAGCTCTCTGCAGGGACAGAAGTAATTAAATGCCGGCTGTAGACGGGACGAAAATCGGCCGATTTTTTCTACCGTTGGTGGTAACGTCGGCCTATTGAACGACCAATTTTTCGTTTTTTGTTTTTTTTTATAAATGGATGGTTTTTGACCCGTCTAAGGCCTGCATAAGGAAGACAGGGAACATGCAGGCAGGTTTATTTTTTTGCAGTAGAGACATGCATGTACATGCTGCAATAAAGAGACTGTCTGCTTGCAGTTTTTTAAATGGAAACTAGTTCCGCTTTAAGCTGTAAAGCAACTAGACAGGGAGGTATACATATCGCATTCCAACTAATTTGCTAAAAAGAAAATAAAAAGCAGGCAGTAAGGAGGTGACATAGCTTCTTATAGCCACCTGTAAAATGCCCTTTGCAAAGCGATCCACTGCGGATCACTCTTCAGAGGGCAATGCTAATGCAAACAAGCCATAAAACACACAAAAAAGAAAAAACATTTTTACTGCAGAGAATGAAGATTTTTTTTTGCTGTTTGTGCCTTCTTGTCCCACATGCACCCCCTATTTGTGGAATGAGGTGCCACACGGATAACATTTTATAGGACTTGGTAAACGGTAGCCAGTGTCAGCAGTTCCTGCAAGATCCCTTTGGCACTTGTACTGCAGTGACAGCTGTGGTCCAGTGCTAAATGCAGGAGATGGAACAACCAGCTCCTGGGCTTCTGACTGGTCTACAGCACACTAAAGAAGCGAAAGTAAATACATTTCTGTGCTGTGTTTACGTTAGAAGCGAAGTGACATCATGGCCCTTATTGTCAGGATGGAGGCTAGGGAAGAGCTGTTACAGCCCTGTCTAACCTCCATACAAAGATGTATCACTGCTATAGCCATCTATTGCTCACTGATTCCAGAAGTGATCTACTGCTGCATCGCTGTATTGGAGGAAGGGGTGGGGGGGTTCTGAATCTTGTTTCCACTGACCAGTTCCAGACCCCCATGAAGAAAAAAAAAAACAGGATAGCAATCAGAAGAATGGTAATATTTTTTCCTAGAAAAGATGGCAAACTTAGTATCATAGGGACAGAAACTGAGGAGAAATCGCCCATATAAGGTCAGACAGAAATAAAAGCTTAATAATAGCAAAAACTCTTATGCTATTCAAAACTAAAAATATTATTTTTTTGCTTAGCGTTAGGCTTTAAAAGTAATGTTACAAAAATCTGCCTGCCTAACTGGATTAGAGAATTCCAACGTGCCTCCGCATGACAAATGTTGGTGTGTGCAACAAATCTGAGGGCGCACTGAGACCAGAGTATCCATACGGGGCAGCTGAGTTCCCTACCTGCCAAGGATTTTTGAAGCTGGGTGGACAGGTTCTGATGGGGATCCACAGACACTAGTTTCACATCAGATCCACTCTCTACTTGTGATTAACAGCAGGCTGTGGGCAGATCCATAGTCAATGGCTTTAGAATATGCCCATTGCCTTCTGGCAATCACAAGGAGAGAAACCGACCTGATCTTAAACTAGTGTCTCAGCTTTCCCATCAAGCTGCACTGTCAGCATTGCTGGTTGCTAGGAGGATGTCAGCTGTAATGCCAACAGCGTCCTTAACAACCAGTGACAGGTGCAGAGAGGAGTCAGGAAATATGTGGTCTGCTACACAGCATACAGAGACAGGCACTCTGCCTGTCTCTGTACGCCAATTTAGGGGGAATTTATCAAAACTGGAGCAGTCAAAATCTGAAGCAGCTGTGTGTGGCAATCAGTCAGCTTCTATCCTCATCTTTTTTCCCAACTCCCAGTTTCCCTTTGTACCAATATT